ATAAACTTCTTCAAACACTCACTGAAGTAGTATATTACGAAGCAGTCTGATTTCTCTCAGAACTATATATAAGAACTGATATCTCAGAATATTCAATCAATAATAATAACACTCTATAATTTTATAAATAATACTGAGTCTCTTACTATGAACTCTTACACACTCAGATAATATAAGAGATGCATGATTTATATATAACTGATTATTCAGATTATAAATAACTGTTTAGAATAATCTTCTGAGAGTTCTACTGATCTGAGATATTAAACAGTATCAGATACTTCATCTGAAACTGTAATCACTGTTCTTCTATTATCTTATGAAAGAACTGTAGAAAAGATCTATTAAAATTACTTAATATCTGTGATTAGACTGACCGTGTGACCGTGTCTGAGACCAGAACCAGATTTTTTGATAGTCTCATTACCAATTCGACTGATCTCATTACACAGTTTTAACATTAGATAGTAGTCTCATACTGTCTCAGTGAGACTTACTGTCCACTCTTGTCACATTTTTCAAATAAGACCATGATTTTCACTTCTCAATTTAAATTATTTTTATTGCTTTAAATGACTTTAAATCTCATTTGAGTGTTATCAAAAAGCATTACTTTTTAAAAAATTAAAAATAGTCTAAAAAAAACCTTAAAATGTCTAAAAATAGTAACTTTATGCCAAGAATGAGACTAAATAAGATCAAATGAGATCACTTTCTCATTTTTTTCAAGTCATGGTCTCATTTTAAAATCTGATATATAGTCACTTTGCATGTTTTTTTAAAAGCCAGTCCCAGCGGGATTCACGCCAAGAAATGTATGAGATCAGATCAAATGAAATCAAACGTGAAATTCATGATTCTGATGGCCAGTCTATCTGTGATAGAATCTAATGAGATATAGTAATTAACTTTGCTGTCAATCTATCTAAGAGTAAGAGTTGTAGAAACATTCTGATTATTGTAAATTGATTGAGTAAAGATATAATATTGAAATCTTGTAATAAGATAAATACTGAACAAGTCACTGACTTTTTCTACAGAGCTCATTCTATTAAATGCATGAATTGCTGAGATCTATAGTATTGAATTAAGATTATTAATTTGTAAGCACTCTCTGAACAAGAATCTCTCAAGTTCTCAAGATTATATACTATATGTCAACTGTCTATCACTCTGAGACTGATAATATATTAGAATGAATAATTCAGACTGTGAAGAATTATCTCTGTAAGTTCTGCAATCACTTATAAGATAATTAACATGATCTTCTTCTATATACAGAGATTACTATCAATGATTCAGATTTATAATGATCAAATGAATCTTGAACTGATCTTAAACTCTGTTTTGAAAATTCAAAAGAGAAGAACATCAAAGCTGATAATTCATCTGCACTGAGTTCCTGCTCATATGAATATTCATGGCAATGAATTGGCTGATTCAGCTGTAAAAAAGAGTGCAGAATTAAGCAGATCTATTCAAAAAATTGTGTTCTGGTCTTTTATAAAGAGAAAAATAAAAGAATCTTGTTTAAACAAGTGGAATGAAAGCTGGCAGAAATAAAAGAAGAGTATACATTATTCAAGATTTGAAACAAAACCCAAGTGGAAATCTTGTTCAATTAAATGTAAAAAGAAAATATTCTCATCTATAATACAGCTGAAACTAGAACATGAATATTTCAAATCTTATATACAAAGATTTGATGATAGATTTGACTCAATAGAATGCTCATTCTGCAATACAAATGAGAATCCTGAGCATATTGTAATGCACTGTGCATTATACAATAGTCTCAGAGCCAGATTGAAAGAGAAGTATGATCTAAATCAATTAAATATGAGATTCTTATTCTCAACTGAGACAGGAATTAAATACTTAATAGACTTTCTATCAGAAACTCAAGCAGCTACAAGAAAATGGCTAAATTCAGAATTATCTGAATATGAAGAGAAGGAAATCAACCAGATATAGTCTGTTAAAACAGCTATATACTATCTTTTAATAATTTGTTTTGTTACAGTCTTTCTTTATTTTATCTTTTCCTTTCAATTTCTTTCTGTCTATCTATTTAATGTGTCTATCTTTGAGACTGTGTTCTCTTTTCCTTTGTCATGATATTGTCAAATGGTTTCAAAGTATCAGATGATGTTAAAACACTGTAATTTGTAAACAGTTTTTGTATTCTGAGCTGGAATTTTCTGATTTTGCATATCTGAAATTGATGAATGTATAATAGTTAACTTTACAGATATAGGAAAAACCCTGAGAACTAAAAGTTCTCAGGTAGATGTCATAGTCTCTGACTGCATACATCTATAATTGAAGAATAATAATAATAATAACTATCAATGATTAAGATGCTGTTTTAACAGATATAAGTCTGTTCTTTCTTACACACAGTTATCACATGAAGATGTTAGATCTTCTAGAGATTACACAGTTCACACTGAACTCTCACAGTCTGATTCAGATCACTGATAATATAGTAATAAAGCTCTGAAACATCTGTGACTGAGCAGAAGTCTTCATAACAGCTGTGAAACATGATTAAGAGAATTGAATCAACATTCAATAAGATTCTACAGAGTAGTTTAAGATAGAAGATCTTATATAGTTGAATCTCAAGAATATATAAATCACCTGTTCATCTTATATACTAGATTACTATCATGTCAGGTATAAAGTAATAGAAGTTCTAGATAGTTATAACTACTGTCTTAACATATCATCAGAGATTTATAATGTTTTTTACATAAGTTTACTCTACTGTACTATCACTAATCTATTTTCTTCTTAACTGACTTCTGACTGACAATCACTAGAGATCATAGAAGAAGATAATGAGCTTGAGTGAGAGATTGAAGATATTCTTAATAAGAGATTATACAGCTGCAGCTAATAATATCTTGTAAAATGAGTTAGCTATAATTAACTGATCTGAACTCTGAGTTTCATATTATCTGAAACAGCAGCTCTTGACTGATGAAAACTGCTTCTGAAAAGAGAGAGCTAATGTTACAGACTGTACCTGATCAATTATATAGACTATTCTGTTACACTTCACAGATTTCAATCACTTCATTCTTGAATATATATGCTCTGATTCTCAGTTATTCTTGATCACTTATTCTCAGCTGTCACTTCATTCTCAAATATATACACTTCAACTCTCAGTCATTCTTGATCACTGATTCTCAGCTGTTATAAATATATATAGATTCTTTCACTCTGAAACTTCACTGTGTACATTATTATATACATATATAAATATTCACTTTAATCACTAATTCTTGCACTTTCTCTTTTCTTCTCTAACATTTTTCTCTGTGTTATATAAGATCTATCAATATCATATCAATCTATTCAGTGTAGACCTCTTACATATTTAACTATTATACTAATAATATATAATATTCTAATAATTTTATTAATAGAGATGAGAATGAAGTGAAAGTTTAACTTAAACTGAGATATTTATCACTATTACTAAGAATAATTATAAGAAGAAATAATTAAGAAACTTATAATTATAAAATATAAAATTATCAGATAGTTTAATATCTCTGCTTATAGTATATCAGAGAAGTGTAGTTTCTATAAGAAAGTAAAGAATAAACTTATATAAGAATATATTTAATTATATCATAAGTATTATTAATAATTATTATTAAATTCTGATTATATAAGTAATCACTGAATAAACTGAATAAGACTGAATTTAATCTTCAGTCTTAGTCTTATTCTGATTTTAAAAGAATGATTATCTTTTATAGTTTATTCTGAGAAATTACTCTTATTTAGACTGATCACTGAGATTATGAATTTTATATTTAATCTCATTTAATCTGATCTCATACATTTCTTGATGTGAATCTTACTGAGACTGACTATTAAAAAAATATGTAAAATAACTATATATCAGATCTTAAAATGAAATTATAACTTGAAAAAAATAAGAAAGTAATCTTATTTAATCTCATTTAGTCTCATTCTTAATATAAAGTTACTATTTTTAGACATTTTAAGGTTTTTTTTAGACTATTTTTAATTTTTTAAAAAGTAACACTTTTTGATAATACTTAAATGAGATTTAAAGTCATTTAAAGCAATAAAAATAATTTAAATTGAGAAGTGAAAATCATAGTTTTATTTGAAAAATATAATAAGAGTAGATAGTAAGTCTCACTGAGACAGTATGAAACTACTATTTAATATTAAAACTGTGTAATAAAATCAGTCGAATTGATAATGAGACTATTAAAAAATCTGATTCTGATTTCAGACACAGTTACACAGTCAGTCTACTCTTATTTCACTATTCTTGTATTAAATCTGATCATTTTTCACATCATTTCTCTCAGAAATAATTCATTTTCAGATTTTTTTGATACTTGGTCCTGGTGAGACTCACGCCAAGAAATGTATGAGACCAGACCAAATGGGACCAAATGTGAAATTCATGGTCCCGCCGGCCAGTCTAGTAATCTCCCTGCAATGCTGTAGATGCTTAATTACAAGTCGGAAAAACTACATTGAGCAAACATGGTAAACAAAGCGAACGGAACGGATTATCTTACTTCCGAATATATTTTGAGAACACCCTTTTATTCTGGAAATAATTTTGCTCTGGCATGCGGGTGGATATGGTGAAATATAGACTCTACTTAATTGAGCATATGTAGATTACTTGACTTGCTTTAGCAATCGAGAACCCAGCGCATTTAGGCTCTGCAGAGGTGAGAAGAAGTTGTATTGCAGTGACTGCTGGAGTGACGTATATCCGCTAGTCGTGGTGTGTGGGCTTGGAGAAGCTTTTGATGGCGGAAGGTAAAATCGGTAACAGGCCCGTGATACTGGAAGCAAGGCGAGGGGGCTTTGGCGAGTGCAAGATCAATGAAATAAATTTGTAGCCGCACAAATTCGTGTAAGATGATTTGTGGTTAGGATAAGCTTTGGATGTTGATCCTATACAAGATTGAAGCGCGTTTCATGCAACAGCCTTGACGAAAGTAGATGTTGTGGAACAAATTTGGAAAGGTAGCTCCTTGACGAAGAAATCTATTAATTTCACTAAGTTAAGTTAACTATGGCCAGGATCATGATGATTCCCCCAAGTGGCCAGGCGATTCAGTTAGCTCGGCTCGCGATGAGTAGATGCTATGGAAGACGAGCCCTGGGTCACTGCGCAATGATATCACAATATGCAGGCACTGCTTTAATTGATGCAAAAGATATCTAAGATGCACGTGCTGCCCAAGTCCAATCCTATTATTGTCATGCCTCACTCAATATTCTTCATCGTGGCATTAAACTTCCATTCCACAGCCCATCCTCAGTCAATCCATTGCCCAGTTGTCAATGCATACATAATTTGGGACAATTGCCACTCCATCTTTGGATGTTTAGGGATCCGTTCAAACAACATATCTGTAAACAATACTGCAGTCCACCGTCTTGTAGCTAATGCTGCATATTCAAATCCTTCAGGATAAATCCCAGCATCACCCCAGTCAATCAGCCAAACCTTGCCCTTGGGGTCCAGTATCAAATTCCGGAGTGCAATATCTTGATGTGTAAGAACCAACTTATCAAAACTGAACAGTGGAACAGTATCTGGAGCTTGCTTGAAACTTTGGCAAATTTCAAGTTTGCGGTTAAACCAAGCCTCCATTGCTGTAACATCCCTGAATGGACCACCTCCTATATCACTAAACCAGCACCCTTTGGCCTTGCAAAATTGACAGTCTACCGGGCCTGGTTGTTGGGGTACCTGAGCTGACTGCAAAGCAAGAAAAATAGAAGCCACCTGGGAAACAACATCTTCGCGCTGAGCCTGACTTAAGTCCTCCCAACAGTCCTGGATAATATCGCCTTCAATAAAATCCATGATAAAGTAGCAGTGGCATCCGAAAAATGTGTCTTGTGTCTTGATATTGAGAACTCGATGAACTTTAGGGACCGAGATTGATGTTTTTGCCTCAACTAGCTTCATAATTTCTGCTTCACATGGTCGTACAAGCTCCCCTCCTTTGAGAACCAACGTGCGGGAGAGGCGCACAATACGTGTTCCCTGATAGTCGTGGAGCAATGGCGCAGTATTGAAGAGTTCGATCAGAGTTTCATCGGGGACTTTGGTTATATCGTAACCATCGAGGGGAAACTCGGTCCCAGACTGTCTGCTCGCAAGCTGGTAGAGCATCTTCTGTCAGCAGCTTCAAGATTATGGCGGAGGATTTGCCTTACATCAAAATTGGGTGTACCAAGACGTACAACCTTCGTCATTTCGCAGAGACTTTGTGGATTATTATCCTCTCATTAAAAGTTGAGCAAGCGAAATGCTCTCGAGTATCCTGCTTTTCTTTCCTTTGCTGATGTTTTAAGTTATCTCAGCAAGCTCAGACGCTTCTCCAGATATTCATTGCTGTTTTAACACTGGATTGATGATTATGTCATGAGCTAACCTCAAATAAGTAATAAGCTAATTCAAATAGTAAAATCAGGTCATATAAGTGATAATATCTTATAAAGTGTCTGAGAAGAAATAATTTCTGATTATTAGTAATACAGAAATAATTTACTCAGTACTCTGAGTATAAAAGAGAATTTTAACTCAATTTTATAGATTCATTATTTCTGTATTATTTTAGAATCTTAGAATAATAATATTCTCACAATGTATCTGATTTTTATATTCATATCTCAAGTTCTTAGAATAATGTCATGCTCCCGGCCGCGCCAAGGCCCTGTTGTGGTTTCACACGGCTTATCACTTTCATGTGAATAATTTTATCTTATCTGAACCGGTTTTCAACCACTCTATAACATCATTCAAATATATCATAGAAAGATCTGATTGATGAATATAAGAACTCTGCTTTTATATAAGGTCAGCAGATTACTCTTTCTTAATAATAAAACACTGATGAGATATCACTTCAACTATTCTTACTTATGAAATGAGAGAAGAGTATCTACTTATTATCTATATAGAATAGCTAGATACTGACTTCTTATTAAAGAAATCAGTAATTCATTTTTCTTTTACTGAAATATATATAAGAGTTATTATATATCTTATATAATCTTCTTAGTATACTAAGTATTATATCTGTAATATTCTTGTAATAACTCTGTAGTCTATAAGCTTACTATTTAAGTAAGATAGTTAAGCTCACTTATACAGCTTCTTAAATAACTATCTCTATATAATACTGCTGACTAGTCACTGTTTTAATTCTATTATATTATAATTTAAATTGCTTAATCTGATTATATATTTGAATTAGTTAAGCTTTAATAAATTAATATAATCTTATATACTTATACTGAGACTGATCTAATTTCATTTTCTGAGAGAAATACTATATTATCTTCTAGAGTGTGTACATCTTTATTCTGATAGAAATCTGAGATTTCTGAACTCACTGTATATTTTAATATAAGCTCTTTAACTGCTTTATCACTGTCACAGTCTCTACACATCTATATCTATTATAAAAATAGAGAGATTAAGATCAGAGATTCTCTGAGATATAAGAGAAATATCTTATCTGAATTTCACAGCTTTATCTGTATTCTTAAATGAAAATTCTGTCTTAATCTGAGTCAGTATAATACTTATAAGATATAAGTAATATACACTGTTAATCTTCTTGAAGACATCTCTGTAACTACTTAAGTTATTAAGAAAAGAGAGCTTGAGTGTATTAATACTATTATAACTTAAGAAGAATTCAAGAACTTTCTATTAAATTAAATTAAAGATCACTGTAACTGCAGCTTTATAGTAATACAGCAGTTCAACTTATTATATTAATAAGATAATAAGAATTCTTTTAATTTTAATACAAGATTTGAAGAATATTGAGAGGAATTAACTAATAATTTGAATTAATTAAAAATACAGTTTTATCTTACAAAGCTAACTTATAAGATATAAATAATAATATTATAATATCAGAGTTTATTAATTAATTGTACTAAGCTTGTCAATCTGACTTTCTGAATCTATTTGAATAATCAATTCTCTGAGAAAAAGATTAATAAGATCTCTTCTAAGTAATTAATAATAAGATTTAAACAGTGCTGTAACAGCTTTAGTGTAGAGAAAGTAAAGAAGAATTTCAAGTATTCTGATTCTTTACTTACTGTGAAGAAATATTAAAAAAGATTTAATAAAGATCTCTGTTTTAACTGCAGAGCTGATAAATACTATATTAGTAATTATAAGAAACTGAAGAAGAGAAGAAACTGAGAAGATATCTTCTCAAAGTTAACTTCTCTTCTGATAAATATATTCATAGAAGATAAAGAAGAGAAAGAAATAAAGAATTAATAATTCTTATATCTCTAAGTTTATATTATAATTATAATATATACTCTAAATAAGAAGATATCAGTGAGATACTTACTTAACTTCAGAGTAGATACTAACTTCATATTCTATTTCTTTTCTTTGATAAAGAGTTAGAAGAAGATAGATCTGTTAAATTATATGAAATTTACTAATGAAATAAAATATCACTATTTTAATATAATTCAAGTAAAGTGTGTAGTCACTAGACTGACCGTGTGACCGTGTCTGAAATCAGGACTAGATTTTTTAATAGTCTCATTATCAATTCAACTGATCTCATTACACAGTTTTAACATTAGATAGTAGTCTCATACTGTCTCAGTGAAACTTACTGTCTACTCTTGTCACATTTTTCAAATGAGATCATGATTTTCACTTCTCAATTTAAATTATTTTTATTGCTTTAAATGACTTTAAATCTCATTTGAGTGTTATCAAAAAGTGTTACTTTTTAAAAAATGAAAAATAGTCTAAAAAAAACCTTAAAATGTCTAAAAATAGTAACTTTATGCTAAGAATGAGACTAAATGAGATCAAATGAAATCACTTTCTCATTTTTTTCAAGTCATAGTTTCATTTTAACATCTGATATATAGTCACTTTACATGTTATTTTAATAGCCAGTCCCAGCGGGATTCACGCCAAGAAATGTATAAGACCAGATCAAATGAGATCAAATGTGAAATTCATGATCTCAGCGGCCAGTCTAGTAGTCACAGACTTAGAAGAAATCTTTAAGAAGAGTAATCTGCTTCTTTATACAGTTAATATTATAGATAAGAATGTTATTTTAGATCTTTTATAATTAAGAGAAAACAATTCTCTCATTGACTGAGTTACTCAGATATGATAGTACTATCTCACTGATAAAGAGATAGTAATAGAGAAATCTGAAGAGTTTTATCAGAAGAATCTTGAGAAAAAGATAGAGTTAATATACTGTATAGCAGATAATTGAAACTTAAGAATAGATAAAGAAGTTATCACTCTCACTACAAGATTAGCAGCAGTATTCATTATTGAAGATAGATATATATAATATCTCTTTATAGATTATAAGAATGTCTTTTTAGAAAGAGAAGTAGTGAAGTTTTCTGATATCAAGATATAATATAAGATTTATCTTAAAGATAGTATAATAATACTGTACAGATCTCTTTATAACTTATCTATAAAGAAATTGAATATTCTGTGCAAATATCTTGAAGAAGTGTAATTAAAGAACTGAATATATTTATTAAAGAGTTTAGCAGAGATGTCTATACTCTTTATACTTAAGAAGAATAATAGACTATATCTATATATAGACTACAGAGATCTTAATAAGATGATAATTAAGAATTACTATTCATTACTGTTAATTACTAAGATGATTGATTGATTATCTGAAGTAAAGATGTTCTCAAAGATTAATATATAGAATATCTATCATAGAATCAGAGTTAATAAAGATAATGTTTAAAAAATAGCTTTTTATATTAAGTACAGTAATTTTAAATATCTTGTTTTATCTTTTAATCTTTGTAACACTTCAGTCATCTTTCAGATCTATATAAATGAGATATTACAGAGCCTTGTTAATGTCTTCTATATAGTATATTTGAATGTCATTCTAATCTTCTTAAAATCAGAGAAAGAACATGATATTCATGTTTAAGAAGTATTGAGTCACTTGAGACAGTATTAACTCTATATAAACACTGAAAAATGCTTATTCTACATATAGAAGATTGATTTCTTAGATTATATTATTAAGATAAACAGCATTTCAATGAATAGAAGCTGAGTCTCTGTCATTGAGAACTGATTAATATCATGAATATACTGTGAGATACAGATATTTCTAGAATTTGTGAATTTCTACAGATGATTTATCTATATATATTCATGAATTACTGTCTCTCTTACAGATCTGTTAAAGAGAAGTGTGAAAGATAGAAAAATGAGATTGCTTATTCTCACTCAAGACACTGTACAGATGTTTATGAAATTAAAATAAGCTTTTACAGATGTTATAATACTGAATCACTTTAACTCTGACTTACTCAGTCAGTATAAGACTGATGTATTCAGAAATAAGATCTGTGAAATCTTTTCACAGTTGACACTGAAGATCTTTTAATATTAAAAGAATTAAAAGATAATTATCTCTGAGAAAATAGATAATAAATTATCTGTGAGAGAAGACTTTTTTACAGAGTCTATAAGACACTGTAAATAAAGATCAGTGATCTTCTTCTTTCAGAAGTTATCACTCACACAGAGAAGATATAATACTCATAATCAGAAAATGTTAGTAATTATTGAATTCTTTAAGATCTGATAATATTATCTTCAGAGTAGTAAGTACTCAGTATAAGTTCTCACTAATTATGTAAATCTGCATTACTTCTTAATAATAAAGAGCTTGATAAAATGTTAAGTCAGATAAGCAGAGCTGCTTTCAGAGTATAATTTCTATATTTAATATTATTCAGATCAGCTTAACTCTGCTGACATACTATCTAGATAATCTGATTATAATATTATTAATATGAAGAAGAATTTTATAAAAGAATCTCTGCTATCACTGCAGAAGAAGCTAACTGCAGAGAATTAAAGTTCTCTGAAGCTTGAAAACAGTGCTGATAAGACAGCTGCATGACTCAGTATAGAAGATAAAAGAAAACTCAGATCTTCACAGAGAACTGATACTGAAGATTATAAACTTCTCATATTATATCTTACTATTATTGAATTAATAAAGAATGAAATAATCTACAATCTTTCAATCTGACTACTTTTGAAATTTATTAATAAGTTATAGAAGAGAAACATCTCTACTACAGCTTAAATTTAAAAGTTGAAAAAGAAAGAATCTGATTTAAACTTAAAAGAGACAGACTCTGAGTGAGATGATACTGCTAAGAAATCAAGTTACTGATAACTAGAAGAATGTGAACTTCTACTGCTGAATAATTCAGTCTTCATCTCTTATAGTAGAGCAGTGTGTCAGAAGTTATTAAGAATTCATTATAATAATCTTTATACAGAGCACTTCAGATTAGAGAAGACTGAGAAGCTTCTAAAATATAAATATATTTAAGACAAGCTCTGAACAGATATT